ACAAACAAACAAAAAACAGCCAAAACATCTGAATATAGTTCACTAGGAAAAAAATTCAGGAATGGCATAAAAAGATGTTCAATAGTAACGAGTATTCTCTAACATACTCAGAATAAAATAAATACCTTTTACAACTCTATACAACAATCTGATTTTAAAATGCACAAAAGATCTGAATAGATCTTTCACCAGAAAAGATACACAAATGGCAAATAAGCACATGAAAAGATGCCCAACAGCATTAGTCATTTCAGAAATGCAAATTAAAACCACAATGAGGCTGGGCATGGTGGTGCACACCAGTAATCCCAGCACTCAGGGAAGCTAAGGTAGGATGATCTCTGTGAGTTCAAGATTAGCCTGGGGTACATAGTGAGTTCAAGGCCAGCCTCAACTGTAGAGCAAAACCCTGTCTCAAAAAAAAAACCAACAAAAAAACCCCACAATGAGATACCTCTACACACCCACCAGCATGGGTGAAATAGAAAACTGACAATGCTAAATATTTGTGACAGTAATAGAATTAGAACCCTTAAACATCCCTAGTGTAATAATGGCACAACCACTCCAGGAAAGTTAGGGAGTTTCTTAAAAAAAATTAAACATAAATGTACCATACTACCAATAATTCCACACCTAGGTATCTACTCAGAAGAAATTAAAACATATTCACCTCAAAATCTGTAGTTTTATCATTTTATTAACACCAAAAAAGTAGAAGAAATCTAAATGTCTATCAAAGGATTAAGCAAGACAAATAAGATTACTTAATAAGAAGGAATGAAATATTAAAGGATGCACTAATATGAACCTCAAAAAGTACTATGCCAAGTAAAAGAACCCAAACATGTAAGACTGTTGTCAGACTCATTAATTTGGAATTTCTAAAGAAGGCAAACTATAGTGACATATAGTGTAGAGCAGTGATAGCGAACCTTTCAAAGATGAGTGCCATAGGCTCGCCACCACTGGTGTGGGGTGAGGAATGGGAATGGCTAACTACAAGCAAGCACACGAAACTTTCAAGGAGGAGTGAAAATGTTCTAAACTGGACTGTGATGATAGCTGAATAACTGTAAATTGTCTTAAAACATATTATATGATTACTGTAGCAATTTATGGTATCAAATTAGTTTTAAAACTAAGGAAATGAATCGTAAGGGGTTTTTTTGGTACCAGGGATCGAACTCAGAACCTTGCGCTTGCAAGGCAGGTGGCAGCACCACTGAGCTAAATCCCTGGCAGAAAATTAATCTTTACCACGCTCATCATATATTAAAAACTCACTATGTATAACAGAAGGCTGACTGTATGTAAGAATCCCTAATCCCAAAATGTTTATTCTCAAGGCATAACTAAGAAGTAGATAGAGGTGGGGATAGAGAGTCTTCATTTATAGCAATTTGGCATTCTAGTATTTTTTTTGTGTTTTGTTTATTTTGGTACCAGGGATTGAACTCAGGTCCTTAGCTTGTGAGGCAGGCGGTGGAACCACTGAGCTAAATCCCCACTCTAGTATTTTTTTTAAGTATTAGGATGAGATCTCAAAGTTCATCAGTCCTTTCTCTGGTAGTCAAATAACAGAAATTACAAGCATTATGGCTGGAGTCCAGGAAAATAGCTTTTCCAGCTGAACTCTACAAGTTCTCAGTGCTCATCATTTGATGAACACCTCAAAAAACAACCCCTCAATAAATACAACACAATGCAACAGACCAAAAGGTTTTTTGTCTGAGTAGCACTGGCCTGCTTCCAAAGGAGTACATCCTAGTCCAGTGGTGGAGAACCTATGGCATGCGTGTTTTCCTTTTAAGACAAAAGATGTTAATGTGTGAGTTGTTTTTTCTAAAGTAAAACCTCAGTATTCAGGTTTAATTGCAGGGTTGACAGTCTGCAATAAGTAAGTGGGTTTGGAGTTGCAGTTTAGGCACTCGTCTCTGAAACATTTGCCATCACTGTGACCAAGCCAGTACTGGTTGTCAGGTATTTTCAGCTCCACCAAATTGTGTTGGAGACAAGTTCAAATTAGTAGGAAGATGCACCAATAACCTAGCAAGTACTTTTAGTGAAGAAAAGCTTTAAAAAACCAAAAAAGAAAATTAGGTGGGACAAGTTAACAAATGAAGAAAACTACAACTCTTCCTAAACGACCCTTACTTAAATTGCTATGCGCCAATATCCACCAAGCTCTTACTAGGTGTTAGTTATTACTGTAATCACATTTAGGTACATTTGTCCATTTAATCCTCAAAAAGTTCCTATGAGCAGGGGAGTCCTCTTTTCTCGTTTCATAAATAGGAAACTAAGGGACAGAGAAGTGAAGGGACTTACATAAGGGCACACAGAAAATGGCAAGGCTGAGATTTCAACCCATGAGTTTGCTGAGAAACTATTAACAGTCACTAACATCGCCTCTTAATTTGTATTCTCATCCATTGTTAACTATGCCCCTCTTCTGCCCAGCTCTCCCATAGCTCCCCCTTCCTATGGCCTACAATTCCCTAAATTTGCTGTTTCCCACTACTTCTCTTTAATATTATCTACACTGACCCACTGCCTTCCAACCATCTTTCTGTTCCTATATCACATTAGGTCTGCTGTTTTCAGGGCCTTTGTAGTTGCTGTTCCCACTGCCACCAAAATTCTTCCTTCAGAAGGTGAAGGCTCACTCGCTCCCTGTCCTTCAGAATGCTACATAAATGTCACTTCCTTAGAACTTCCCTGACTACCCTAGTTAAAATAGTACTACTCACCCTTTCTATATTTTTTTCTTCTTCGTACCAGAAATCGAACTCAGGACCTTGCACTTGTGAGGCAGGTGCGGCACCACTGAGCTAAATCCCCGGCCCTGTATTTCCTATTTATAACCACTTGGCGATGTTTATTACCTAATTCCACCATCTCTCACTCTCACCACTTGTGCCTAAGAGGGCACCTGTCATGAAGCAGATACCTGAACTTAAAAAATCTGCCTCTTATGCTTTGCTTCATGATACATTCATACAGCTTCAAGCAGCAGATCATGACTCTACTAATAAAATCTGAAAAGAAAAAAATGGCTAAAGAACCTTTACATTATTTAAAATTTGATCTTCCTACTGGGAACGTAACTCAGTGATAGAGGGTTTATCTATGATAGTGGTATGTTCAAGATCCTGGTTCAATCCCCAGTGTGCACGCACCTGCACACACACACACACAAGCCTTCCTTAATGTGTATGTTTTATGTTGATGCCAACTTTAAAAGGCTTTCTTTGGAATGACTAATGATTACTATAACTATATATACCACCTCAAAAACTGTTACAAGTTTTAAGTTCTTAAATAGTTATTCCTAATAGTGACTGTGGAGTGAAGTATCTTGGAGGGGAAAATAAAATCAAGCTGCCATTAGGCGCTTGTCCCTCAAGGGAAAATGAAAATCTTAAATGCAGTGGATTATTTAACACTGTAAAATAAGTAAATAATACATCAAACATTAACTTCAGTGTTGAGAATACATAATTCTAATTTTGTAGCTACAATTAACAAGCCAGATAACTGACTCAGTGTACAAAATTTGTTAAAAGTTAAAAATAGGTTTTAGAAGACGTAATTTTATTTGGGTCATTTTGAACACATAGATTTGCTTTTCTCTTGGATCTGTAAATCATACGACACTCTTAGCTCTTCCTGCATGTACTCAATGCTCCCAAGGAAGACAGGGAAAAGAAAACACGGAAAAGAACAATTTTCCCCAAAAGACAGGTTTTATAGGAAATCAAACCACTTTCTTCTGAAACTGCAGATTTCCAGGAGGCTGATTTAAATAAATTCGTAGGGATGGGTAAAACCACTCGGAAGTGCTGTTGCAGCAGACGGTCCAGAAGCAAGAGCTGGAGGCACTTGGGGAGTTGTGGAAACCATAGAGCAGTTGGCCCTCTTCCTCCCACTCATAGCAAGTATCTCAACACCACTCACCTTCGTTCTAGCTGAGCGCAAATCACAATAAACAGGACAGCGAGAAAGCGTCGGACAACCCACCCTACACACACACAAATCCTTCACCCCAGGGCTGTCAAAAGTGGTCCCTTGGAATCCCGGGGAGGACTAAACCCAAGTGTGCTGGAACTTCTCGGCCCAAATTTTCTCGTTTTCTGAGGCTGCAGCTGGGAGAAGTGAGACAAGACAAAGCGGGAAAGAAGGTGGCATCTTCCCCTTACCTTGATGGCTTTGTCCATGTCGTTCTCCTCCGACATGCTCCGGGAGGCCCCTACAGCCAAGAGCGCAGCAGGCTGCGCAGCTACTCGGTCCCCCAGCAGCCGAGGGAGCAAAGGGCTCGGAGATCTGGCCCCTGGGTCTCGGGAAGACGGACAGCAGCCGCCACTAGCGACAGGAGGGGAAGAGGGCCCCGGCGCCAGATCCGCTTCGGGGGGTGGCTCTAGGTTGGCGGCGGCGGCGGCCCCTGGGGACAAACCTTTGTGCTGGGCCCCGCGCGGTCGCCTCTCAGCCTCATCCCCAGCCGGGGAGGCAGGCTCCCCGGGCAGGGCGAGGCGAGGAGGGCCTCGGCCCGGGGCTTTGTGATGGGGCCTCGCCGGGCCGCCACTTAGACCCGGGCTCGCCAGGGCCTGAGAAGAATTCTGCGCCGCCGACGCCGACGCCGACACCGTCGTGAAGCCGAAACCGAGCCCACTGCCGCCGCCGCCGCGGCCACTACTGCTCCCGCCGCCGCTTCAGCGCCACACATCGCCGGGACACCCGCGCCGGGCAGCCCCGCCGGCCACCCGCCCGCGCTGTACCCGGCTGGAGCTCCGGGCTGCCGCTCCAGCCGCCCAGTTCCGCTACTCCACGGCTCCACACGCCCCCCGCCGCCGTCCGCTGGTGCTTCCGCGCCGCCCCCGAGCCCTGCGACTGATCTGCAGGCGCCCGCCTAGGCCTCCCTGAGACCGCCCGCAGGCCACACAGGCCCCCGGGCCTTCGGCTGCGCTGGCGCTAAGCTAATGACGTAGGAGGCGGCCTGACTGGGCAGGGTCATTGGAGGTCGCCGCAGGACATGTGTGACTGCGCCTGCGTTGGTACCTTATCTGTTAACTTGGCTTTGCAGTGCTTTTTGCCTGCAGGAACACCCGGTGGAAAAGACCCGTCGAGGCCGACGGGTGATACAGAAGAGGGAACTGAGGCCTGCCGTAGGGGAACGAAATTGTGTATTTCGTGAAGCTCTTTTGCTCCACTGCGTCCTTCACAAGATAAGCTTTTTGAGCTGTGAAGTATATTCTTGTCCTTCGTTTACATATTTGGTAACTGAGGCTTCGAGGGCTTGTTACTGGACTTTTAGGACGAAATATTCGGCTCCAGCGGTCCCAACAGACCATACACCGCCACCCGTCCAAAACACCAGCGAAGGACTTGAGCAGTATTGATGGGCAGGAAAGGAGCTGTAGTCAGCGTGGCCAACGCTGGGAAGGACAGATGAAAAAGCCTCAGGATCCGTCTTTGAGGCGCTGACAGAAACTTTGTGGTTTTATAGATGAGGGAAACAAAGACAAGGGCTAGGAGTTTGCATAGCAGTCAGGGTAAGTAACCCTGGTCAAGGCGCAGTCTCGCAGTCTTGTTATTATCCCTGGTTCTGTGAGATTGACCAGAAATCTTTATGGCCTGAGGGGACAATCGGTTCTCCTGCTGGGGGTGGGTGAGTGACCATCATGAGGTGGTCCTCAAGACTCTGCTTTCAGGCCGGAGATTTAGCTCAGTGGTGCCGCCACCTTCCTCGGAAGCATGAAGACTGCTTTTCCTGGAAAACGTGTGTATGTGTGACTGCCGGTTTAGGATAACTTGAGACTTACTAAGGTTCCACCCCAAGGAATCTGAATGAGGATGTTATAAAAATTGGCAAGTGAAATCAGGTGTGGTGGCGCACGCCTGTAACCCCAGCGCTTGGAAGGCTGAGGCAGGAAGATCGCCATGCATTTGAGGCCAGAGTAGGCTACATAAGTGAGCTCAAGGCCGGTCTGAACTACATAGCAAGACCCTCTCTCAAAAAACAAACAAAAAAATACTGGCAAGTTAATGTCCCTCCCAGTGTTGCTTATCTTAGTGTGCTCATGTAACTGGCACTGCAAAATGAAATTTTTAAAGTTAGATTTTTTTTTCTTGTAGAAATAAGCAATTTCGGGCCCGGGATTTAGCTCAGTGGTGCCACACCTGCTTAGCAAGTGCAAGGTTCTGAGGTCCTGAGTTCGCGACCCCTGGTACCTCGGAAAAAAAGAAGCAATTTCTCCAAAATTCCTCCTGCTGAACACAAAACCAGCACCCCCACTTCTCCTCAATCCAGATGAAATGATAGTATATACAGATTCCAGCCCCAGGAGGCAGGAGCCCAGTTTCCTTTCCACAAGAAAAGGGTCAGCTAGCCAAAGATGGCTGGAAATGATAAAGCAGGCCTGGAAATCTACATTGTGCTCCGCTTCCCCTCTGTTCCTTTTTTTTTTTTTCTTTCTTTCTTTCTTTTTTTGTTTTGTTGTTGTTGTTCCTTTCTATAAAAGACCCTTACCTGGGCCGGGCATGTAGCTCAATGGCGCAGCACCTGCCTGGGAAGCATAAGGTCCTGAGTTCAATCCCTGGTACCGAAAAAAAAAAGACCCTTACCCACCTGTTCATGAGAAGGTGGTGATTTGAGGCAAAAGGATTCCTCATCTCCTTCAAGCTAGCTTTAATAAATCCCACTTTCCTTTTTACCAGAATAGCTGGTTGTTGTAGTCAGCAGGATTGGGCAAGGTAATATATTAAATACAGAACACATAACTTAATAAGGTTATTTTATGATAATTACCCAAAGATTAAAATGCAAAGGAGTGCAAGAGATTAACCGCATACTAGAAGCCCAAAGGATTCAACTGAGGGCCTGGATCCCAGCAGTTTTCCACACAAGTCCAGCTGAAGGCCTAGAGTCCAAGGCATCGTCCTCCCTGAGTCCAGCCAGTGGCCTAGGGCTCACAGCAGTGTCTTATGCTTGTCTGTATTGAGGATCTGCACTTGGAAGGCCCAAAGGCCAGTGGTAGAAACCAGAAAATCTATGCTGGTGATATGGATTTGTGCCACCAAGCTGAGGGATCCACATTAGAGCCAGGAAGTGATGCTCACGGTGAAGATCAGAGCTCCCCTGATGACAACAGCAGCCATTCCCAACAACAGCGAGGCCCTGAGCTCCTCCTTCAGTGAAAACATCCTAGTTTGCATCAGGACAACCATCCACAGCAAGGTTCTCCTAGCAAATCAACAGGTCAAGATCTTCCCCTCCAGTTCTCTTTTTATGGCTATTGGTAACAATCTTCAGATGGATCTTTCATCCCCAGACCATGCTGATTCAGTTCAGCTAGGTGTTACAAGTTGACCATTAGTCCACCACACTGGCCTCCTTTGATTTGGTCAGTAGTAAGAAAATGAACCTAAGAGGCTGGTAACACTCAGCCTAGAAGGAGGATGAGATAGGTTGTATAAATTTAGGTCTAACAGCTGCTCCTTAAGTGATTAACATGCTTGTGTTCAGAGCTGAGCAGGGATCTAAGCCAAAGTTTTAAGGTTTATACTTAGTATATCAGAACATTCATGGGTCCAAACTTTGATCAAGATACATGAAATTTTTATAACAAACTGAAAGAGACATATGAAATGAAGGCAGAGATGGCAAGCTTTATTATGTCTATAGTTTCCCATTGGGCACCTAAGGACAAGCTGAACCCATTTGCACATAGCCAGAAATTGGTCAAGATAGAATTGGAACCCAGGTCTGTGCTCTTTACACCAAGAACCTTTGAAGGAATTTTTCAGGAGCTTAGCCCACCCCAGCCCCAATTGTTTCAAGTTTTTTGTTGTTTTGGTTTGTTTTTGAAGACAGGGTCTTGCTATGTAGCCAGGCTGGCCTCAAACTTTGAATCCTCTTGCCTCAGTCTCCCAAGTGCTGGGATTACAGGCAGGCACATTGCCACCTCTTGATGTTTTTTTATCACTTATGGTTATTCATTACTGATCCCCAATGTATGCGAGACCTGCTAGACCGTGAGGAAACCGTAATAACAAGACACAGTACCTGCTTGTGGATCTTTCAGGAAAAGGAAGTAGATAGTACACAGGGAAAAACTGTGATGTTAAGAAAATGAACAGGGCACTAATGCTAGAATCACTGGATGTGGGAACTATTTCATGTTAGATGGTTAGAGAAAGTCAAGATGTAACATTTAGGCTGATATCCCTGAGGAAAGAGGAGATGACTATTGGAAATCCAGCCAACTGGAGGAAGAAATTTGGGGGTAGATAGAACAGCAAGTCCAAAAGTCTTAAAGTGGAATAAACAAAATGTGTTCAAGGAGCATCACGTGATACTAAACAAGTACTCTGCTTGGTGATCATGAAAGCCAAAATAGTAGCACTGGGTTTTAGCAAAAAGAAAAGGCTTTAATGTATGGTCAACCAGGAAGGAGGCCGGGAGCTGTCAGCTGGTCATTTGGTAGCAGGAGAATTTAGAAGAAAGGGTAAGCTGCTTACTGACAGAAGAGGAAAAGGAGTTATCTTAGGGTTCTTTTGCTTAGACATAGATCATCATGCTTCTTCGCACGTAGCATGTGTGATGACAATAGGTCATTGACTGGATAACCTGGCTTCTCTGCATATACCCATTTTTGAAAAGCCAGTTTCAAATAGTCCCTGAGTGAATTCTAAAAGGTTTTCCTGAAAAACAAGTTAAATACTGTATTAATTAAGGAATCTATCTCCGGGTGTGTCTAGGCCCCTAAATGATTTCACAAGAACAGCATTGTAGCTGGAATAGTATGAGAAAGGATGAATGGGCAGGGGCTGCATCATACATGGCTTCAGGGATCATAGTAAGGACTCTAGTCTTTATTCTAAACCACTGGAATGTTTTAAACTAGAGAGTAATGTAATCAAATTTGTATTTTAAAATGTGCTGTATAAAGAATGAAATGTAGGTAAGCACAGAGAGCTATTAGGAGACTGTTGGAATAATCCAGATGACACATTACTATGATGTTTGAACTAAGGAGCTGACAGTAAAAATGGAGAGAGAAGACAGATTTAAGGTATATTTTGGGGCCTGGGTGTGGTGGTGCAGTCAGGAAGCTGAGCCAGGAGGATTTCCATGAGTTCACAGCGAGCCTGAGCTACATAGTGAGTTCAAGGCCAGCCTGAACTACATAGTGAGACCCTGTCTCCAAAAACAAAAACAAAAGCAAAAAGATATATTTGGGGGATAGCATCAACAGGATTTCTAAAGTATTAGATGAAGAAGAGGAGGATAAAAAATGAATTAAGGATAACTTCTTTGTGTTTGACTTAAACAACTGGAGGAATGAGGCTGCTTCCATTCAGTGAATGAAAAACTTGAATGGGGATGAGAGTGAACAGTCCGGAGTTCTTTACCATCTAGGCTAATTTGAGGTTCTTGTGACATACCAGACAATAAACCAAGCATGTAATTGAACATTGTGGAGACTTAGTTGTCCACCAAAATTATTGTTCTCTTTTTTGTGCTGTATACATTTGCACGACATTCCTCAACCCTTACAGTAGAGTATGACATGTGCTGTGCTCTTCCCAGTGGAAAGTGAGCAGAAGGGATGTGCGTGGTCTCTAGGCCTAAGCCCATAGAAACCTTCAACAGGAGTCCTCCTGTGCTTGCTCTAACTCTGCCAGCTGGAAGCTGATGATGGCCAGATTTTGGAGAGGACAAGTCCTCAAGATTGAAGATTCCTACGTGGAAGAGATCCCACTTGCTCATTGTTAGTGTCTGTTTAAACTGTTACATGAGCAAAACCAAAAATACAATTATATTGAGGTGTTGCTTAATTTGACTTAATTTGAGTCTTTGCTTATGCAAATGACTTGAATTGACATATCCATAACCAAAAATAGAAGATGCCTTTGATTCATTCATTCAATAAGAACATCAAAATCTCTGTGTCAGGCACTGTGCTATATAATGGAGGAGCAGAAATGAAGAACAGACCCTCATGCAGCTGAGTCTAGCTACTCAACTTACTGACTGATTTACACGTTTTCTCTCTACTAGGAACCTACTGTCCCCTCCCTACACACACAGCAGTTTCTACTCTTTCTTCAACCTTATTCTTGTTTTGTTTTGGGTTTTTTTGGTACTGGAGATCAAACTTGAGTTCTTGCGCTTGTGGGGCAGCCGGCAAAACCACTGAGCTAAATCCCTGGCCCTAGTTTTGTTTTTTGAGACAAGAGTCTCGCTGTGTATTCCAACCTGGCCCTGAACTCACAGTGTACTCCAGGCTGCTGGCCTCAAATTTATGTTGATCCTCCTGCCTCAGCCTCCTGAGGGCTGGAATTACAGGCATGCACCACCATGCCCAACTAGATTTCTTGCTTAAAGGTACAGTTGCAGATATAAAATCATCATTGCTATCTGAGTCCTCAAACTGAGTAATTGATTGATTTCTTATTTCACAGTCCCTTGAAGAATGTAAATCTGGGGCCGGGGATTTAGCTCAGTGGTTCCACTGTCTGCCTCCCAAGTGCAAGGTCCGGAGTTCAATCCCCAATGCCAAAAGAAAAAAATAGAAGAATGTAAATCTGCAGCTCTCAAGGTTTGCAGCACTGGCATTTTCAACTCCCTCCTAAAACCAGATATCACACTCTCCCGCCCTCTGCTGCCAAGAACTACTTATTTTTTATTTCGACAGGAGACACTGTCATCTGCAGTTCTGTGAAAGTAGAAAATACTCCAATGAACTGGGTGACCTGGCTCAGGAAAATTCTAAACAGACAGGCTGCCTGGTTTCTTCTTGCTGCTATTAGAAAAGAAAGAGATAAAATTGTTAGAATTATTAAACAACCAGGAGTTGGGACTTGATGGTTTTGAAACCAGTCTCGAGCATGGGTCAAAATCAGTAGTGCAGCGCTGATGGGAGGACTGTGAGTTCAAGGTTAGTCTGGACCACACAGTGAGTTCAAAGCTAGCCTGGAGTACATAGTAAGACCCTGTGTCCAAAATCAAACAAAAAATCAGCACCAAAAGTAAAACAAAATCTGTCTTAGCTCAGGCTGCTTTGACAAAACACCGACTGGGTAGCTTATACAACACATTTATTTCTTTTGGTTCTGAAGCCTGAGAAGTCAAAGATGAGGGCCCCATGGGCTGGGGATTTAGCTCAGTGGTTCTGGTGCGTCCCTTGAAAGCACAAGGTCCTGAGTTGGATCCCCAGTACCAAAAAAAAAAAAAAAAGATGAGGGCCCCAGCAGATTTGGTTCCTGGTGAAGACCTGCTTCCTGACCTGCAGGTGCCACTTCAGTGTGTCCTCCTGTAAGAAAGAGTGAGCTCTGCTCTCTTCCTCTTCTTATAAGGGCACTGATCCCACTATGGGGGACCTACCCTTATGATTTCATAGAAACCTAATAACCTCTCAGAGATCCCTTTCTCAATACTATCATATTAGGTATTAGAACTTCAACATATGAGTGGAAGGAGTGGACACATCCATCCATAACAGAGTCTATAAAGCTAAAGTAGAAGATGTCACTGTATAATATTTTGTGAAGGCATTAGAAAGATCAAAAATGATGCCTCAGAAAACTAAAGAGATTTATAGATCTTAATAAGACCTCTAGTAATTTATAGATCTTAATAAGTTCCTCAAATCGCAGCAGGACCCCAAGATAGAAAAGAACATTTCAGGGAGATTTGTGGATGTGGCTTTTATCTAATGCAGTGAACCCCAAGAAGATTCCCAGGAAATTACAAACATTTTGAAAGAGTTATATTTGGACTCTTGGACTGAGGGAGAAAGAGATACTATAGAATGAACAGTATAATTTATGGGCAGGAAGCAGATTAAACTCCTTGACTACAGCTGTGTTATTTTTTATGGAAAAGTACAACTCAACCAAAAGCTACTGATAATCATTCTTAAGCCTTGAGGACCAAATGTGGAACATCTAACATTGGCCTGGGTGGATTTCAGAATTTCCATGGAGCAGTGACTTCTTCCTACCTCCTACTTTCTTCCTTTTTCACAATAATGTCTGTTGGTTTGACCTATATTTGTCAGGGTTCTCCGCAGAAACAGAACCAATAAGACGGATGGATAGATAGATAGAGAGAGGCTTCATTATGGGAATTGGCTTGTGTGATTATGGAAGTCCAGAATGCCTGATATGCTGCTGTCTACAAGCTGAAATCCAGGAAAGCTGCTGGTATAAATCAGAGTCTGAAGGCCTAAGGACCAGCAATGCCTGTGTCCAAAGACAGGAGAGGTAAAAAAAAATAAATAAATAAGAAGAGCAAATTTACCCTTCTTCTACCTTTTTTGTTCTATCATATTCTATAGCGGATTAGGTGATGCCCGCCTGTATTCATGAGGGTGATCATTCAGATGCTATACTCATTCAGATGCTAATCTCTTCTGGAAACAGCCATACCCAGATATAATGTTATACACCTTAATATCTCTGTCCACTCAAGTGGACACATAAAATTAATTATCACATGCCCATTGAGGAGGCCACACTCAAGTGAAATAAATAGGACACATGTGTAAATACTGAATACTTTCTCTGGTGTGAAAAACTAAAAGTGTAAATAGGTTCAAAATGTATAATTGATAATGCGAAATAGGAAGAAAAGGTCTAAAGGAGTAGGGGAAGTGGGAGGGGTAGGGGAAAGGAAATAAGGGAAAGGAAAAAATGGAAACAAAGTCTCTATAGATAGGGAAGGGTGGAGGGGGTGAAGGGAGAGCAGGGGAAGGGGGAAAAACTAAGAACCAAGATGCATCATGTAAAGGTACAAGATCCCAATGATGAATGTATGGGGGTGGGGATTTAGCTCAGTGGTTCTGCCACCTGCTCCATTGATGAATGTAACTGTATTGTATACCTAAATGTACCAAACTTAATGATAAAAAAATGAAAGCATAAATTAAGAAAAAAAATTAATTATCACTTTCTCTTATGGCTCACTGTTGTACCTTGAATGTGGAAGGGACAAATAATTTGTCTCCTTATTTTCCATGTTCTACAAATCAAGAGAATCTATACTTGTGGAAATATATTTAAGGAACTGCAGTCAAGGAGATTACATCTGGGCTTGATTTGATTTTGGGATTCTGGACTTTGAGCTGATGCTATAAGGCAGGCATGTCCAGCCCACAGGCTGTGTTGTATGCAGCCCTGGAAAGCCAGTAATGTGGCTCCACAAGATTGTAAACTTTTAACATTATTGTGTGATTCTTAGTGATTTTTTTTTCATGACTCAACTGCACAGTTCTGGCACATGGACTGTGTAGGTGACAACAGAATTCTATGTAGGGGAGGGCACAGTGCACTGTTATATTGTAAACAATGGCCTCAAAGAATAAGCACGAAGGATAAAATTAGATCTAGCTGGGCATGGTGGTACATACCAGTATTCCCAGAACTTCAAAGGCTGAGGCAGGAGGATCCTCACAAGTTTGAGACCAACCTGGGCAACATAGTTCAAGACCAGCCTGAACTACATAGCAAGACCCTGTCTCAAAAAATTTTTTTAAATTAAAAATTAGATCAAAATTTCTAACAAGCAGTTTAAGAACTCACTAAGGATTGCAACCGCTTGCCTTGAATCAGACCCTGATGAATTATTTTCATAAAAACAAGGTCAGATATCCAGCTAGTTTTATGTTTCTGTTGCTCTGAGTGTTATAGTAAAAAATATTTTAAAATAAAAGAAGTTTTGTTACTTATATACATTAACTATATCATACATTTTATATGTGACTCAAGACAGTTCCTCTTCACTCAGTGCAGCCCAGGGAAACCAACCTGGATATCCATGCCATAGGAGGAAGAAGCTTTTGAGGACCTTCAGAAGAAGAGAGCGCACTTTGCATGTGGGAAACCTCGACTCCCTGGCTGTCCGAGGGCCAGTAGCATTAGCAACCTCTCAGATGGCCTCTACTCTTCGTATCGTCTACTTGTGACCATATGCTGGGACCAGTGAGTTACTACTAATGAATAGAAAACAGTAATGTGATAGAATACTACTTCTAAGATTAAGTTGTATAGAAATTGTGACTTTTGGGGCTCTTTCTCCAACTCTTTTGTTTACTTCTCTGAGGAAAGCCAGTTACTATGTTGTAAGCTGCTGTCTAGAGGAATGTACATGACAAAGAATTGGCTGACAATCAAAAAGGACCTGAGGCCTGCCAGTAGTCACGGGAATAAGCCTGGAACTGGATCTTCCCTCTGTGCAGCCTGGAGGTGACGGAAGCCCTGGCTGACAGCCTGACTGCAACTTTATTAGAAGCTATGGGCACATAGCAAAGCCACAGTAGTACATTTGTGACCCACAGAAATTATGAGATAACAAATATGAGTTTTTTGAAGCTGCTGTTTATGATCATTTATTATATAACAATAGGTAGCATATTCAAATGGTTAAAGAAAAGAGGAAAGGCCTACAGGAGAAAAGTCATGGTGGCCTGAATTAGGATGACTGCAGCAGAAATGAGAAGCGATATCTGAGAGGTATTTTGCAGGTGGAAACAGCAGGAGCTGGTGATGACTTAGATGTGGGGCTAAGAGAGAAAGGAGGTGCCCTGGGGCTATCTGCAGGGCACAAGCAATTCAGCAGAGACAGTGCATTTACTAAGATTGAGCACATTAGAAAGAGAAAAGATCTGAGGATATCAGCAGAAACTAAACAACTGAAATGCAGTAGTGGATGGATGAAAACATGCAGTTGAACATGTCACTGAATGTTATTCTCTCTGTGTGCAGCTATCCTTAATCAACAGCAGAAGTTTCAGAAGTGTAACCTGGCGCGGGGGTTGGAAGGGGAAGGGAAAGAAAGAGAAATGGTGGCAAATGTGGAGAAATTGATTGGCATGAGTGGCCCCCAAATGTACACCACCCCCAGGGTGATGGTACTGGGAAGGGCTGTGGACCTTTACAGTGTAGCTGTGTGGATGGTCCTTAGGTCATGGGGGCGTGCCCTCAAAAGAAACTGTGGGATCAGGGTTTCTCTTTTGCCTCCTGGCTTCAGATGTGGCTGCTCACTCTGACATGCACTCCTACCATGATGGATAGCCCTCACCAGAGGCCTAAGCCAAATTGCTGTGTTAGTCAGCTTTCTGTTGCTGGGAAAGAATAACTGATGCACACAATTTAAAGTAAGAGAGGTTTATTTTGGCTCAGTTTCAGAAGTTTCAGTTCATAGTAAGATGGCTCCATTGCTTGAGACCTGTGGCAAGGCTGAAATATCATGGTGGAAGGGTGTGGAGGAGTAAAGCTGCTCACCTCATGGCAGCCAGGAAGGGGGGGGGGGAGTGAGAAGATATATCTTTCAAAGTCAAGCCCCTCCAGCTGGGTGTGGTAGCACACACCTGTAATCCCAGCACTCAAGAGGCTGAGACAGGAGAATTGCTGTGAATGAGGCCAGGTTGAATTACATAGTGAGATCCTGTCTCAAAAAAAAAAACAAAAACCCACAAAGTCAGGCCCCTCCCCATTGACCTACCTTCTCCAATTAGGCCCTACCTCCTAATAGCCCATTCACATAGGAAATCAGTGGGTTAATCCATTGATGAAATTAGCTCCCTCAAACCCAATTATTTCTTTAGACATGTCTTAATCTAGTCAAGTTGACAATCAAGATTAACCATCAATGCTGCCTGCCTCAAAAGCGCGTTGCTTGCCTCTCAAGCGGAAGGTCCTGAGTTTGATCCCCAGTACCAAAAAGAAAAAAAAAGATTAACCATCTCAGTCACCCAATCTGGGACTTGAACCTCCTGAACTGTGAGCCAAAGTAATGTTCTCTACTTACTAAGTTACCTGTGTCAGGTAGTAACATGAAGTTAATACAAGTGGTATATCCATGTAATAGACTATTAGAACAAAAGAAATGAAATTCTGCTACATACTATACAACAGGCAGACCTTGAAAATAATATACAAAGTGAAAGAAGCTTACATATTGAGTAAGTCCATTGATAGGAAATATCTAGATTAGGCAATCCTAGAAATAAGGACAGACTCCATTCTCTTTGTTTGTTTGTTTGTTTGTTTGTTTGTTTGTTTGTTTTTTGAGACAGGGTCTCACTATGTAGTTCAGGCTGGTCTTAAACTCACTGTGTATCCCAGTCTGGCCTCAAACTCACAGATCCTCCTGCCTCAGCCTCCTAGGTCCTGGGATTACAGGCATGAGCCACCGTGCTCGGCTAGACCCCATTCTCTTGCCACTACCCCAGTTCCCTCTGTGGCACTCATTAGCATGAAAGACTCAGGTGGTCTCCCCAGGTAACTCTGCCTTCTTTGATGGTCCCATCACCTGAGGCCAAGGATAAACTAACTCACTTGTTCGGAAGGCCTCTCTTCTAGTGTAAAACTTAGCAAACCTGAATGTGCAGACAGATCACCTGGGGGTCTTGGTAAAATCCAGATGAAAGTTTACTGGGTCTGAGCTGAAGTCTCAGGTCCTTATTTCTAACACATTCTCAGGTGCTATCAGTGCTGCTTGGTCCACAAACCATATTTTCCCAGCTGTCACTCTCTTTGGTTTTTTGAAAACCCATTCTTGGAACCTCCCTGTCCCAGGCCTAAGTTTCTTGAGTTTAGAATAGTACAATCCCTCAGTAGTGTCCCAGGACAATTTTGTATACTCTACATCCCTTTGAGCTTTTGCTACACATATTCTAGCATTGTAGAGTAGGCCCCTTCCCTCAAAGGGTTCACAGTGGAAGAAGGAAGCAGATCAAATATAGCACAATTTTTGGGCAATAAGTATCAAGTATGAAAGTATCAAAGTATGAAAGTAGTTAAGAGGAGAAAGTAATGAACTTAGAGCTGGGGAGAACACCCAACATCCTAAAGGGAACCAGCTCTAAGTGCTATTCCAAAGAAGACACATAGTAGGGGCCAGCACCCAGCACTAGTGATACATGATGTCAGTAAGATTTCCTTTAAGGCTCATATTTGCTTTGAGAGAATCTAAAACATCCTGATTCCCAGGCTTGGGGTGTAGCTCAGTGGTAGAGTACTTGCCTAGCATGCATGAGCCCTGGATTATATCACCAGTACCCCCCACCAAATAATTCTGAGTCCTGTTACCATTAGGCAATATTAGGAGTTGCCTAGCAGGGCCAAGTTACATGTTAGTTTCTGTGATATGATTTTTTTTTTGTTTTACAAAAATGGGAGCCTAACCCAAAGGAAATAAAAAACATGTCCAGAGAAAAATTTGTACATGAATGGTCACAGGAGAACCATTCATAATAGTCAAAAGGTGGAAGCAACAGATGAGTGATCTATCCACACAATGTGATCTATCCATACAATGGCATATTATTTGACCATAAAAGGAATGGAGTAAGATACATGTTACAACACCGATGAGCCTTGAAGACATTAGGTCAAGTAAAGAAAAGCCAGTCACAAAAGACCACATATTTTAAGACTCCATTTATATGAAATGATCAGAATAGACAAATATATAAAGATAGAAAGTAGAATAGTGGCTAACAGGGCCAGTAATGAAGTGTAGGTGTAGCACTAGGGGCTAATAGCTAAAAAGTACAAAGTTTCTTTTTGAGCCAATGGAAATGTTCTAAGATCTATTGTGGCATGAGAGATATACAACTCTAAATATACTAAAAAAAAATTGAATCATACAATTTAAATGAATTCTATCTCATTAAAGCTATTTTAGCCAGGGATTTAGTTCAGTGGTTCCGCCGCCTGCCTCACAAGCACAAGGACCTGAGTTCAATCCGTGGTACCAAAAAAAAAAGCTATTTTAAATGGAGGAAAATGAGGAAGAGATAAAGGAAGAAAGAAAATGGGAGCTTCTGTCCTTTCTTTTATCTCTCAAATTTTCACACATATACTGACCACTGGAGACTTTGTTAAAATACAGATTCTGGGTAAGTGTAGGGTGGACCCTGGGATTCTGCATTCCAAAAAGCTGCCCTCTGATGTCAGTGCTTCTGGTTGGTCCTGGACCATACTTTAAAGGAGAGTATAGGTACCTCCCAGGTGCCCAGCATCCATGAGCCAGGCTTATGGAATGGGCCTTATTTTGTAAGTGGTATCCTAATTACTTTTTGCATTGCTGAGACAAAAGACCCAATACCCAAAGATAAAGCAGGGAAGGTTTATTTTGTTTTACAGTTATACAGATTTCAGTCTATAGTCAGCGGGCTCTAAGACAGAGTGGCATGGCAAATGGGCATCATAGAGGAGAAATAGTCTATTGCAGGGCAGGCAGGCAGCAGCAAGCAGCACCAGAAGCAGAAGCAATAGCAGCAGGAAACAACTGTAACTGTCCTCTTTCTGTTCCTTATATTCTATCCAGGCTACCTGCCCTTAGGGCAGGTAGCCCTAACATGGAAGCCTTCCCATTATCTATAACCAGAACTATGCCAAACCAATCAGTGGACTAATTTAGTAATCACACACTCTTGATCCCAGCATCACACACTCTAGATCCAGCCACCTCTGAAAAGCCCCACCTATGACCACATGAGGCTTTGGGAGGATGTCTAGACAAAAGCTATAACAAGTGACATGTGACCTGACTATAACAAATGGTGGAGAAATGAGACCACCCAAGCAGGCTAGTGAAGACAGAGAGGTACAGACTTTATTCACCTAGGCAGAGGTGGACTGATGGCAAGCAAGAGGCTGTCACTACCAAACAATGAAAAGGCAGAAAGTTTTATAGGACATTGGAAGAGAGGTCTGGCACGTCTATCACATATAGGGGTCAGAGCAAATATGTCAGGGTCCATACAGCGATCAAGGCAGATGTGTGGATATTTTCAGGTGACTTGGCATTGAAAAGATGCTGTACTTTGTAGTTGTTATCTCTGTGTTGGGAACATCCCATCCTGTGTGGCTGCCTGTTTTGTTGTGGGCTTTTTTTTGTTGGTTTGTTTTTTGTTTTTTGTATCTTGTCAAACTGTAGCTTGGAATTAAAGAACATATTCATTAACCATTTC